CGAGACTCTGTCTCAAAAAAAAAAAAAAAAAAACTGATCAAATGGTGGGTACACATGGTCACAAAGAGATGTAAAGGACCCCAGAAGCCAAAAAGGGGGGAAGGTGGGAGGGGGTCGAGGGATTAAAAACTTATGAAGTACAATGAACACTGTCCTGGTGGCAGGCACACTGAAAGCCCTGACTTCAGCATTATACAATGTATACATGCAACAAAAACATCGTATCCCCTTAATGTTTTGAAATTAAAAAAAATTTAAACCATGTGGATTGTCTATGTTACCTATTCAAAACATCAAATTTAAAAGTTAAAGTGGTAAAAAAAACTTATCAAATGGTACACATTAAATATGCACAATTCACTGTGTGTTTATTATACTTCAATAAAGCTGTTTTTAAAAACTGATAGCAATTATATGATGGAATTAAAATATTTGTAATATTTCCACAGTAACTCTCATTTATCTTACATGACTCCATTTCAGTGTTCAAACATTTTACATAAAATACATAGTTCACCATTTCTGAGGCTAAGTATCCCTTTGAGAATGTTGCTATGCCTCAGAAGAGCAAAATGTTTCCAAATCAAGACAGAGAGCTACCATGGCCCAAGAAATGTTTTATAATCTGGCATCACTGAAAATAGAACAGAAAGTGAGCAAAGATGCTGTTTATAACAGTGATTTTTCTGAAATAAAGTAAAAAAAGTTATGAAATAAATATATTACAATTTTTTTTTAAAAGTACATCCCCCAGCTTAAAGCCCTTTAGAGGCTTCTTGTCACCCTAAGGATGAAATCCAGCTCTGCCCTAAGGGCCACACCCCTGCTTCATCTCTGTTCCAGAAACACGGGTTCCTTTTTGGTTCTAGAAGAGGCCAAGGTCTTTCATGCCTTGAGGCCTTCACACATGCTGCTGCCTGTGCCTGGAACTTTGTACCTCTAGCCCTTCACAGCCAGCTTTTTCTCAACCTCCAGGACTCTCCTGAAGGTCACGTCCTCCAATAAACCTCCCTGAACACCCAGGATTCAACGGGATACTTTTCCTTCATGGCTCCCATCACTACTCGCAGTTGGAGCTTTATTTTTTGACTTGCCCTTGCCCTCCGCGTGGGCGAGAAAGGGGTGTTTCTCAGTGTGCTCCAAAGCCTCTCGCAGCGCTGGACACAAAAGGCACTTTATTAACACGTTGAAAGGATGGATGGATGTCTTCTTTCTGGACTCTGGGACCTCACAAGATGGGTGCCCTGATGAGAGGACCCGAGGGGTGGGAGTGCGAGCGAAATCAGCCCGTGCTGGAGGTCACCCAGAGTGGTTAGATTCAGGCACTCAGGCAGGCGAGTCTGTGAGCCAGTCACAGGCAGGCACGGCCGCGATCTAGCACTGCACTGTTGACTCCCACCACAAAGCCAGCAGATGCACCCTGTTGTGATGAACTCAATAAATTCATTTTTGTGAGCACGTGCTCTCTGCACAGGGTAAGCCCTTTACACGTTGTCTCTATTCATCTTTACGATAACCCCGTGAAGTACATGCTCTTATCCTCATTTTACAGAAGAGGAGATGGAGGTTTAGAAAGAGGTAATTTGCCCAGAGTCACACAACCAGCAAGAGGCAGGGCCTCTTCAAGCAGAAATCCCTCAAGATACTGAACAATGGTCTGGAAAGACAACTGCTCTTTTGGGGGCCGATAAACTAACATCCTCTCGTTGGAGAAGCCCAGTGTCCTCCCCTCAAAGTGCTGGCCCCACCATCCTCAGCGTCTCTGCCTCCCACTGACCCCTGTGCTCCTTCCCGCTGTCCAGGCCTTCCATGATCTCAGCCCCTCTCCACCTTCTGTGGTCTCCTCCTGCCTCTCTGATGGCTGTTCTTCCTACTCCCCAGTCCTAAAGGCAGGTGCCCCCAGGCTTCTCCTTGGTACTTTCTTCTTCCTCCTACACCCTCTCTCTGGGCCAGCATCTTAAATCTGCATGCCCAGCTCAGATCTCTCCCAGAAGGTCCAGACCCACGCTGTCCCTGATGGCTGCTGCTGGTTACTCCTTCCAGAATGCAGGTCCTGCTCTGAGACCTTCAATGGCTCCCCAGGGTCCATCAGAGGAGGAGCAAACTCTTGCCCAAGGCATCCAGGCTCCAGTACACCTGTCCCTGAGTCCCTCGCAATTTAAAGCCTTCATCCACCTGTGCTCTCAGCCTTCATTCTTCTGTCCCTCCAGCACGGCTCCCTCCCTCCCACCTCTCCTCAAGGGACTTCTGACTTCTAGTCAATGGCACGTGCCCCTCCTCCATGAAGTCCTTCTCCTTAGAGAACCTACCCCCGGATTCCTTGGGCAAAAGCTACTTTCGTGCTTGTTTTGATTCCCCTTCCACACTGGGTCAGAGAGGAAGTCAGGCACTGGGAATCAGAGGACAATGCCCATTCTATGCCTACTGGTTTCATCTCTTTGTCTACAGAGTCCACCCAACTGCAAAATGAGATGGTAGAATTGGATTAGCATTTCCCAAATTTCAGTCATTCAAGTATCACCAGTACCACTTATGCTTAACTATTTATCTATTCTTTTTTAAAAAATATGAAAAGGAAACTTTATATTGCTTCCCATGGCTGGAAAACCAATGTCACTTGCAATAAAATTTGCAATAAAGAAAAGGTAATCATGAAAATAAACACGTAACTGATAAAGTAAGAAATGTCTGTGTAATGTCTCAAACCCACCCATGTATAGTTCTGGGAAACAATCTAGATCATCAAAGGCTTCGTTGAAGATAAACGAAGCTGAACACTAGTTAAAATGGAAAGGACGGAATTTAATCAGTAATAACTGTTGCAATAGAGAAAAGAGTCTAGAATGAACTTAACTTTGATTCATACAAAAGTAACTGGGCCTTTTGAAGAGAGGATGAGAGAACAGGGAGAGGGCAAGCAGGGGTTCAACAGAGTCAGGGAAGTGAAAAATTACCAAGTGCCAGTCAGTGTAAATGAGATTAGGCCAGCTGTGTCTGCTAACTGGCAATTACTGAAGTTAGGAGTCTATCCTCCCACAGAGACTGGCAGGCAGAAGCTCTACCCTCAGGTGTGGGATGAAACAAGCAGTACATTTTGGGGACAGCCTTGAGTTTTCTCAGGCAGACACCCTAAGGGGATCTAGGGTCATCTCAGGGATTGGCCTTGAGCTCTTAGAAACTATGTTAGTGTTTGTTCAGTCTTTATAAGTAAGTTGAAGCCTAGCCACGAAGAGGCTAGAGTTTGGCCAAGAAAAGAATCTTTGTCAGCTTTTTTAGCTTAGACAAACGTAAAAAAATATATATATATATATGCATCAACATGTTGAGACTATGTATCAGGTGCTTCACAAGATTATAAGATAGGTACTGTTGATATCATCCCCATTAAAAGGATGAGAAAACTGAGGATGAGAAAAATGACAAACTGAAAGGTTACCACCTGCTCAAGGTCACAGAGCCAGAAGTAGTAGTGCTGAGATCTGAACCTGGTTCCAGAATTACCTGTTACCCAGAGTCCACAGCCATATTCTATGTCTCTAGGCTCCAACCAACTTTAAGCCATCCCTGTCCCTCACATGCCCATCCTACCAATGTCACTGGACAGAGTACTGGATCCGGGCAAGCATGTGGTGCTGGGCAGGGGATCTCAGCTCTGGCTGCGCATTGCAACCACGTGGGGAACTTTGAAAATACCCATGCTTGGGACCCAACCCCAGAAGCTCTAAAGTAACTGGTCTGGGGTGCAGCCTGGTCACAGGGATTTCTACGAGCTTCCAGGTGGTCCCTCTGAGGAGCCAGGTTTGACACCATCCTGCACCAGGAGCCTTCACAGCTACCATCTCATTTGATCCCTACAAGGGTCCTCTGAGAAAGGCAGGCAGAGTGCAATCATGTCCTGTTGATGGACAAACAAGCTCAGAAAGGAAAAGGCTCATATAGTTAATAAGATCTGGATATGGAATCCGAAATTTCTGACCTCCAGTTCTGAGTTCTCTGCCCAAAGGTTCTGCCCTACAAGGCATAATTCATAATGCAGAGAGTGTGAAAAAAAGCAATGTCCCCAAGAATAGAGATGAACGGCTTACAACTTCTCTTGGCCAGTAAAAGTCAGTTCTCACCCCCACTGAACACGTGGATGAGGGGTTAGAGCCTGCTTCAGCCATAGGACCCAAAACAAGGCCAAGGGATCCCAGGGTGGTGAGCAGTGGCCCGCCCTCCCTGACAAAGTGCTCCACCGGCAGAAACCAGGCTGGGCTAGCGCAGCGGGGCCTGCAGTTCTCCGATTAGCGATGGCAAGGGCGGGGCCTGCTTTCAACGCCCACTTTTCTGCAGCCGCTTGTGATCTTGGCTCACGGTGCACCCGCCAGGAGCTGGGAGTGGCCCAGGGAAGTCGGGCACCTACTACTGTACCCGCCCTGGCAGCGTCCTGGGCGACCCAACCGGGTTAGGGTCCCAGCTGCGGGACCCCATTATGCGCCCAGCACTGGGCCTGCCAGCCTGGTCCAGCCCGGGTAGTTCGCTCAATGATGATGAGAGGAGGGGAGGGGCGGTTTCCCACCTCTGGGAGAAGAGGGGGCGCTGCCCGCCCTCGAGAGATTCCGAGGAACGCTGCCGCTCGGACCTGACTGGCGTCACAGCTCGCGCTTGGGGGACTTAAGTGGTTCCCAGTGGTGGCAGAGAGGTCGCTGTCCACACCTCGGGCTGGCGAAGCCCCCTCCCGCCCACTCCCTGCACACATCCGCAAGGGCTGAGGTTCGCCCCCGCCTTGAGATGCCGCGGGGAGCCCCGGCAGCTGCAGGCCCTCGGAAACTGGGGCCCCGCCGCGGCAGAGGGTCCCTACCCACTCCAAACCCCTCAAAAACGCCACAACCCGAGGCAGGCCTTAGGGCGCCACCTGGCTGTGACCGAACAGAGGGCGGCCACACCCCCGCGGAGAGGCCGGCTGGGGAGCGCAGGACGCGGCTCCCCCAGACCGACGCCTCAGCGCCAAGTCCCCGCCGACACTGCCCTGCAGGCCGCCCTCCCCGCGAGCCTGCAGGTCCCACGGACCCTCGCAAGGGCAAGCGGGCGGCGGCGGGGCGGCGGGACGGTCCTCGAAGGGCGCCCCCCGCGCCGACGCCACCTTCCAAGGCCCCCGACATGGCCCGTGGCGGCGGTCAGAACTGGAGCTCCGGGGAGTCGGACGGGCAGCCCGAGGAGCAGGCGCCCGAGGAGGCCGGGTGAGCCGGCGGGGCCGCGCCGAGCCGCGCCTCGGAGGTCTGGGCAGGCGGCACCTCAGGCGCCGCCGGAACCTCCGCGAAGGTTCTCGGTCCTTGTGGCGTCACTGTCTCCTGGCGGAACCTTCCGCCGGCGCCGAATAAAAGCCGCTGCGGAGGAGCCGGCCCGAGTGCGGAGGGAGGCGGCCGGCGGGCGGCGGGCGGCGGGGGCCGGGCCGGGGGCGGCGGGGGCGCGCTAACCGGGCCCGCCCCGCCCCGCAGAGACAAGATGGTGAAGGAGACCCAGTATTATGACATCCTGGGGGTGAAGCCCAGCGCCTCCCCGGAGGAGATCAAGAAGGCCTACCGCAAGCTGGCGCTCAAGTACCACCCGGACAAGAACCCGGATGAGGGCGAGAAGGTGCGGGGCGGCGGGGCTCGCCGTGAATTATTCAGCCCGGCAGGACCCGGGCTGTGAATGATCGAAGGCGGAGGGGAACCCGAGCCGCGCTGGTGCCGGAGACCGTCCCCGGGCGCCGCCCGCGGCGGGTCGGCCGGGCCGGGGGTGGCGGGAGGCCGGGGGCGCCGCGCGGCGCGATCCCCGCACTTCGCCGAACGCCGGCCTCCCCGTGGAGGTGCACGTGGTGCTGGGCCCAGGGGCACTCGGACCCGTCGTGGGCCCCCGCGTGGCCCATTCATTCCTCCATTCGCTCCACAAGTGTTTAGGGAGCCGCCGCCGTGGCTGCGGATGCCGGGGAGGCGGTGCGACTGAGCCGTGGACGCCCCGTTCTCGTGGGGTTTGTGGGCATTACTGTGGGAGAGGCAGCCGGCAAATCGGGAAACAGAGGCACATGCGACCAGGAGTTGTGCACTTGCTGGGAACGACTGGTTCACGTTCCCTGTTGATGCCTGAGCCCTAGGCATGAGTTTCTTTAATCTGAGCCAGTACCTGGGATGAACCCGGTGTCCCTCTTGAGAATGGCAAACTGGATTTGGTGTGTGTGCTTGCTTCTGCCTAACGCTTGTCAGACGTTGAATGATCACATTTTCTTCTTAAACAGGAACATGGACATCTGAAACCTGACCCATCAGTTTATATGCATATTCCAGGTTTTTTGAGACAGATGACCCACAGTTGATCTTAAGTACCAATAATAGGCTGAAATGCTTTGCGTAATGGGGACCTACATTAAACTTTTTCATCCTGTTTACGGAAACAGTCTGTTTTTATCCCTAAAGAGGCTCATGACCCACCTGAGTAGGTGACCTGAAGGATCAGGTATTGCAAGGAAAGCTTGTCAGCAGCCTGCCCATTGCTCCCTTCACTTCTTGCCATTTTCTTATAAAACTTTAGTTGTTCCAGATGGGTCTTGGAATGTGGGGCCATTGTAGTAGCCAATAGCAATGACACCTGGGCCACTTTTGAAGCCACCAGTTGATCACCTGTCTAGCATTTAGACCGTGGAAACGACTCAAATCAAAATACCTGTCTGCATTAGTCTATTCCAAGCTGAGAAGGCTACATTAGGAAGGTTGGCTGGGTGGTAACAGTGATAGAATATTTATATTTAGCCACATGTGCCGAATGTGGCTGTCACAAGTTTAAGATGCTTTCCTGTAAGACCATTTGTCTGTTACTGGTGTTCTTTCTCATCTATATTTAGGTGGCTTACTGTAGCTTTTAAAGTCACTGGCTTTTTACACAGTATTGGTGATTCATAGATCTCCTCCCTAAATTCATTGTAGTGTTTCTGACAGTCCCTTTAAGGAGACATTCTAGGATTCTAATTTCACATTTCTGCCGGCTGGCTAAAGACAATATGTGGGAAATTTTCCAACCTTGGTTTTGGGTCAGATCTCATAGTCTCACCAAGAGGGAGTTCATGACTGTGTGCATACAATTTGTGATGAATGTGCTTTTGGTGTTCTGAACTTTTATTTTTAAAAACTTAGACTTGACTCGTACTACATGTGTGTAGGTTTCACCCTCCATATACCTGTCTGGGCAGGCTGTTTGGTTTGTTTTAAACTATTATTTATTTATAGCCAGGCACTGAATTAGTGTCACATAAATGAGCTCTTGGCAGTAAGATCTGGCAGGCCCTTCTCAGCTTGCAGGGGTTTCTGTGATGTTCCCACAGCCAGGAATACTTTTCCCTTCCTACCTTCAATGAAGGGGATAAAATAGTTTAGTTCTCAGCTGAAACGTCTTCCAGGAGGCTGCCTCTGAGCCGTAGACTGAACCACTGGCCCAATATTCATCCTGCTTTAATGGCGTTACTTGTTCGATACCCACATTCCCTGCTGTGGTATATGCAGGGAAGGGCCCGGGTCCCCATGGCCATTTACCAGCTGTGTGTCTAGCTGTGCAGGGTAGGTAGTAAAATATTTGTTAGCCGGCTAAGTGAATGAATAGCAATGTCATGATAAGAAATGCACTTTAAGAAATTCTATGTGGGAGGAGGAGAGAGCCCAATAAATGCACAGATTGGAAGGGAGATTGCAGTGAAGGGGAGATTGGGAGGTCAGTGGAAATTTGGTTTGGAAATCAAAGGGAATAAGGAGACCGGGGACTCAGTCTGTAGCAACTCTGCTGTAAAGTTCCCCAGAGAGGGCTCATTCATTCATTGACCATGTAACTCTTCTTCAGGTCCTACTGTGTGCTGGGTGCACTGTGTAGGCCTTTGTGTGTGTGTGTGTGTGTGTGTAGTGCTTGTCCACTTTATCTGTCACAAGTGGAACCTCTTTATTTTTCTCCTAAGTTTGTCACTGTATTATTAATGTCTTTTCAAAAATAGATTATGTTAGCCCTTTTCCCCCTTCCTCCCAGACAACTGAGAAGGCCGTTGGGGTGTTGGTCTTTGTTTTCTGCCCTGTTGTCCTGTGTTGCTAAGCATTGGGGCAGCCTGTGTGTGTCGTCAGGTGCTCTGTATACAGTCTGTACTTCTCTGTGGCTGGTTTTTTGCAGGACACGTGGCTGGTGGGTAGCAGGTCAGCAAGATAGTCCCTTTCAGGGGCAGTGATAGAGGGGGCATATTCTTGGCTGTTACCCCATGACCATGAATTTGGTCTTTTGGTCAGTCTCATTGGAACTTTTAGTTTGAATAATGGATTATCAAGTTAAAAAATAAGAAAAGATAATGTAACAGTACAGAAAATTTCAGAATACAGAGGAAAACCCACCAACTACATGTCATCGTAACCACTCTGTGCTTCTTTCCAAGCTTTTCTTAGGATGATCATACATGGTCATCCTGACACAGGCTATTTTTTTCTCTCCACTTAATATTTTATCAGAAGTACTTTCCAAGTTGTTCCGTAATCTTCAGCCATTTTCCCAGCTGTATGGCAGACCCAGTAAGGTTCTGTGGCAAATGATCACAGTCTGAAAGGCAAGCTGGTCAGAGCACTAAGCTCCCACTGGGAGAAGGGGATCCAGGCAGGGGCTGAATTAGACTCTGCAGTGCCGGGACCCCAGAGAAGGGGTGGACCCAGTACTGGTAGTTGGAGCCCCCATCCCACGTAAGATCTGGCCTCTGACTGAGTATCTCAAGTGACAGGGTATTCCTTTTTATTCTTAGATTAATTCTGTTAAGTCCAGGAGTCTTCTGAGTATCTAGGGAATTTGGTGAGTGTTGCTAGTAGACATTCTCATTAAGCATATTCGCCTAGTCTCTGACCCGCAGACAGGCCCAGAAACACTCTAGGGACAGCCTGGCCTAGTTGCTTTCTGATCTTCCGTACCAGGCAGCCAATCTCTACACCTCATTTTTTTCTGCTGACGAAAAGAGTAACAGTGAGTGATACCTACTACTTTGTAGAAATGGTATGAGAATTATCATATCAAAAGATCTGGCTGCCTTGTGTATGATGTTGATTTTTTTAAGACTTAAATTTTAAATTGTCCAGTTTTTTGTTAGCCATTATTTAGTAGCTGTTATTTACTAGTTATTTATTAGATCTCAGTCAAGGATATGTAGAACAAGGGAATACCTAGTGTCTGTCAATTTCTGTATGTGTCTTCATGGCACTCTTTCTGTATATCTTGTGGAGCCAGCTGCATTATAGGATGTTTGTGTGTGCATCTGTCTCTCAGACTGAACTGAGTCTTCAGGGGGCCAAGATGCTACCTCATTTATTTATTTCTGAATTCCCAGAATTGAGCCATTTCTACAACAAATAATAACCAAGTACCTTCTGTGTGTCAGACACAGTTCTAAGCTCAGGGAGACAACGGTGGGCAGAACTCCCTGTCGTCATGGAGCTTACATTGCAGTGGGGGGTACAGCATCAGCAATAGATGATACAGCACGTTAGAAGGTGCTTAATGCCATGGAGAAAAATGAAGCAGGGCCTGGGGAGGGTCTGGGGGTGGGCTTGCAGTTGTAAAGGTGGACCATTGGGGAGGCCTCCCTGAACAGGTAGACTTTGAGCAAAGTCTTGAAAGAGGTGAGTGGGAAAGGCACACCAGGTGGAGGCACTTCTGAGGCATATGCTGCGGTGCTGAGAAACGGTAAGGAGGCTGGCGAGGCCGGTGCAGAATTGGGGGTGAGAAAGGGGCACAGGAGGAGGTGCAGGCAGAGAGCTGTCGGGTTGGGCTTATAGATAAGACTCAGGACTGGCTTTTACTCCTGGTGGCCTGGGCTGCTTTGTAGGGGTTTTGGCACAGAATCCACGCAATTAGCAGCCCCAGCTGGAGAACAGACTGAAAGCTGGGGTGAGGAGGGAAGAGGGAGACTAGTGAGGAGGTTACTGCAGTAGTCTAGTCCAGAGATGGGGGCTTCAGCCAGAGCGGGTGTGGTGGTGGTAAGGAAGGGATTTTGCATATTTTAGTGTTCTGATTTTATCTTAAATACTTCCATGTACCTACAGAAAAGATGACAGTGGTACAATAAACGTCTGCCTGTCCTTCACCTAGCTCCACCAATTGTAAATAAGTTGTCATATTTGCTTTGTCTATTGTTATTATTTACTATTACTATTTGCTAAAGCTTTTGAGAGTAAGTTGCATCTGTCATAACATTTCAGCCCCAAATACTACAGCACAGTTCTCTTAGGAACAAGGGCATCCTTGTACATAACCGTAGTGCAGTTATCAAAATCGAGTGAGTTAACATTGAGAAAAAAAATCACATTTCTCCAGTTGTTCCGATCATGTCTTTTGTAGCCATGTTTTCTTCCGGGGCAGGGTACGATCCAGGATCACACATTGCATCTAGTTTTCCTGTCTTATAGTTTTGCAGAATGTCACTGAATTTGAGTTTTCTGATTGGATTCTTACAGTTGGGTTTCAGTGATACGTTTTTGGCAGGAATGCTACATGGGATATTGTGTCTGTCTTAGGGTACTGGAGATGCAAATGTGAAGGTAGCGCCAACAGGATTTGCTGACAGGTGAGAGCGCCGTTGACAATAACTGAGATACGGGGAAGGCTCGGGGGGAGGCAGGACTTTGGGGAGAAATCAGGGCTACAGGTTTACACATAGTATCTGTCTGGCACAAGGTTGGTGCTCACAAGTGCCTATAGTTGAATTTCATGCTAGTAAACCAGTAAAGTGATTCCCATGGGCAGGAAAGCCACTGGTAACACCTGGAGTCCTGGGCTTACCTGGTTATAGATTAAGCCCTGGCACGGTCTCGTTGCACCCTAGCTGGCTGGTCTTGACTTCTGTCTGGTGCAGCCAGAGTAGGGAAAAACTTTCCCTCTCTACTGCTTTCTCTCCCTTACTCTTGCCACCAGGCCCTTAATGGTGTTTGCCCTGTTTCCCAGTTTACAAAGGAAGCGGATGGGAAATTTGGGTTCCAGACAGAGGATGTGTAGACTGGCTACTTTGCGGGATTGGGTGCAGAATACCTCTGTTATTGTTTTATTCATATTCTTATGGTGGATTTGCTTAATAAAACAATTCAAACCTCCTCTCTTTCTCTCTTTTTTCTTTTAAAGTTTAAACTCATATCCCAGGCATATGAAGTGCTTTCAGATCCCAAGAAAAGGGACATTTATGACCAGGGCGGAGAACAGGCAATTAAAGAAGGAGGCTCAGGCGGCCCCAGCTTCTCTTCACCCATGGACATCTTTGACATGTTCTTTGGTGGTGGAGGACGGATGGCTAGAGAGAGAAGAGGTAAATGCTTTTAAAGAAATATAAGCAGGTTTTATAGTTTCCACAATTGCACGTGTTGTTGGAATCAGGATGGATCATGCTTTAAAAAGGTACAATTGTCGTGTTTGGGGTTCATTAACTTTAAATGATTCGACACTTGTGTAGTATCCAGGAACACTACCTGGACTCTCTTAGTGTGCTCAGTAATTATCCGACACCCTCCAAACAACACAGGTGCAGGAGTGGGATGGAGTGGTGGATAGGAAGAAGGAAGGTCAAGTTCATCTTGTCCTCTTTTCTTCTCTTGTTGGGGTCAAACACGTGAGTGTCCTGGGGGACATAAATGACACCTCCTGTGGTTGTTAGTGATCCCCTTGCCAAGAGTGCTCTCCGCTCCTGCCCACCCTCCTTTCGTGGCTCTTCGTTTCCCTGACCCAGGCCAGGGCCCACGGGCCTCTGATTCTGGCTGGTCCTCTGCCGCGTTCAGGATGGCCTTGTTTTCCCTGCCTGCTCAGGGGATTTTTCTAGGTAACAAAATTCACCTCTTTATGTTTTAAAATCTTTGTAAGCTACCTGCCTTTTCAGAACGCATTATGATTACTCTCCAAGCAGTGAATGAGGAACTTAGCCCTTAGCTGAATGGCCCCAGGCCACTGTTTTTGAGTACTGGGGTTTCTGTTAATACATCTTACTTCTTGCCAGGCTTTGGGCTGTCACCTCTATTATCAGTAGTCTGTAACAGGCTAGCTCCCTTCCTCCCTGTCCAGTTTACCGTTGACAAGCCATTTTGGATCTTGAAACCAGACAGATAACCAAGCTTATTACAATTCTGGATAAAGTCAGAGAAATAAGCTGTGCACTGGGGTTTAAGAAGTGTGGTTTCGGTAAATGCGAGGCCCCAGGATAAATGAAGCTGTGCTTGTTCTCACATTATAATTGACTTTGAGCTTTAAAAGACTTGGGTGTCAATTCTGTGAACGCAGTATGCTGAAAATCACCAAGTGTTCATTAGGGAAAAACCCTTCCCCTGGCCTCTGGGTGTATTTGCCTGCTCATGTAATTGGCGGTGTGGGCCTGAGTGAAACCTTGGGTATTCTCTTGCCCAGCTCTCTCACTGCCTTGAGGTGGAAAACTTCATGCTTCTAATTAAGTCATCTCTCAAGTTTGACAGCCAATAAACCAGGACACCTAATCTCAGTGACTGCGAGAGTTCCATGGGCAGCGGGGAGGGTCTTGGTGCTGTCAGTCCTAACAGGCTGGCATTGGCTGGACCAAACACACTCCCACTATTAGAGTAGATGCCCACCAGCCTGAATGCAGAGGCAAGATTTGGGCAGAGGGAAGGATTTCCACTTGGCCACAAATTACAAAAGGGCCCAGAAAGTAGAGCACTTTATGCCCAAGGGGAGGTCCAGAGACATTCATCTATGAGAAAGGGCTCCTTTCCCGGGGAGAACTTAGTAACCAGTTTCGTTGGTTAACACTGCCTTAGGTGTCTCAGTTAGCAATCTCCCTGTCCCCAGATTTAGTCTCAGAAAATAAAGGTGGAAAGTCTTTTCGTTGACCTCTATAAATGATTGAATAATTAGCTCATAGCTAGAGAGGGTATTAGCTCTCCTTATTGGCAGAGGCCAGAGGGCAGGCGGGTGTAATGGAAGCATTGCTTCCCGAAGGGTGGGGGTGAATGACCCTGGCACAGCTTTGCATCTTTGGAGATTTCATGCAACTGAGGGTCATATGGGTGGTATTTAATACAGTGGCATATTTACTTCAGTATTACTAATTGTTTCTTTTTTCTCCCTTGGTAAGGCAAGAATGTTGTACATCAGTTGTCTGTAACTCTTGAAGACTTATATAATGGAGTCACAAAGAAATTGGCCCTCCAGAAAAATGTAATTTGTGAGAAATGTGAAGGTAAAAAATTAATTTTTTAATGACTCTCACAGTTCTTATCCTTCAGATTTGGAAGCAAGTCTGCGTGTTTTACAGTTTAGACAAAAATAATTTATCTTCAAAGACAAGGGTCAAGCAGAGGTTGCAGACAAGTGGCCTGAGGGCCAGATCTGTTTGCCTGATGAATGCATGTTTTCTTTGGGCTGCACCTCTGTTCCATCTGTTAACAATTCTTTTCAGCATGTAAAAATCAAGACAGTTCACCCAGTCTAGGAGTCGGCAAACTCTTTCTGTAAAGAGCCAGATAGTAAACATTTTGGGCTTTGTGGGCCATGCGGTCTGTTGTAACTACTCAGTTCTGCAGTCCCAATTCATAAATTAATGGACATGCCTGTGTTCCGGCGAAGTCTTGTTTACCAACCCAGGCAGTCTGGCCATAGTCTCCTGACCCCTGACTTAAACGTAAATGTAACTGCCATGATTGTTTAAATCTGAGTTTTCAAGAAAAGTCAGATCTGGCGACCCCAGCCCCACCTTGTGCCACAGAGGATTGGCTGAGCTGGGCAGGAGCCCCTGTTGACACAGCCGTGTTCTCTGGATCTCCGCAGCCCCAGCTTCCTCACGGACCTGTGGGCGTGGTGGTCATCCACCCTAGGGTGGGAGAAAACACATTTGATCAAGCTAAAGCAACAAATTTGGCACAGTCAAAACCACAGATGTTGGAGGTGGGATGTTGGCATCTGGGTGGCATCTGCTTGGCCAGGCTCACCCAGGCTCTTCCGCAGCTTTTCCTCCTGATCGTAAGCAGAATTCCAAGCCCAGTGTCCAGTGCAGGGATTCAGTGTCCTGTGGCATCCAGTGGGGACACGGGTCAGGGAACACCCAGCCCTCACTGCCGCCCCCCCACAGGCATCGGCGGCAAGAAGGGGTCAGTGGAGAAGTGCCCGCTGTGCAAGGGGCGGGGCATGCAGATCCACATCCAGCAGATCGGGCCGGGCATGGTGCAGCAGATCCAGACCATGTGCGTCGAGTGCAAGGGCCAGGGCGAGCGCATCAGCCCCAAAGACCGCTGCGAGAGCTGCGGCGGCGCCAAGGTGATCCGCGAGAAGAAGATGATCGAGGTGCATGTTGAAAAAGGTGAGGCCGCGCATAACTAGTGCTGCACGCTGCTCGGTGCTGACCTTGGCACGCGCGGGTTAGGGGTCGGGGCAGTGAGCATCACAGCACGCGTTAGGGGTGCCATGAACTCCTCCGATTCCCAGGTCGTCTTCTCCTGACCCTCCCTGGCCTTATTTCCATTCCGTGTCACCTGCCAAAGCTTTCTTGCTGAGGTCTGCTTCCTTGGGATGACAAACCACCTCTTTTTAGGGTTTTCTAAGGCTCTGAAAGTCTTACTTGGCCTAAGTTTTGGTCAGTTGCCCTCTCCTGACATTCTCAGACCATTCCTTTAGAGTCTCTGGAGTGTTCTTCCCGATAGCTTCCATTGCTCAGCGGCTGAAAGAGCTCATCTGAGCCTTCGTAGCCGTTTCTTTTGTCCACGTTCCTCCCCGACTGCGTCACATTCTCCCAAATACAGCACCTTCCCCGGCTGTTCATTTTGCCTGACGCCATCATTTTAAGGCCTTTTTCCATCTCAGCTGTTCTCCAAGTATACCCTGAATATTTTGTGGCTTTCTAATCCTATGTCAGAGATGAGACCAAAAGTGAAAGGATCGACACCCAAAACAACACGGGTCTTGTTAAAGGACTTCTCGTTCAAACATGCCTGAACCCTGTGCCTGTGCATGCACGTCGACTTATTAGAAAAGGACAGGGCTGGCTGTCCCATCCCCATGAGTCCCCAGAGCTACACCCTGTGTGCACTGAGACGTGGGTGGTGACCTCATGCTCACATTGCAGCATCACGGGGTCCGGGGCAGGGAGTGCAGCATGGACCTGGGCCGTGGGGACTCATTTGCCCTCTCCCTGTGCACACGTCTCGGGCCTCGTGTTACGCCGAGGGAAGCAGGAGCTCTTTCCTCAGTGATCATCCCGGCCACCGCTCCCCGCCTCCTGCGTGTGCAGCTGGGAGGCTAGGTGAATAACGAGCCCCCATTGGACTCTGCGTTCTTTCTTTAAAAGCTTTGAGGAAGTGTGGTTTGTACGAGGAATGGCTAATCAGAAGGGCATGATGTTTCATAGGTATGAAAGATGGGCAGAAGATACTGTTTCATGGAGAAGGAGATCAGGAGCCTGAGCTGGAGCCTGGTGATGTCATAATTGTGCTTGATCAGAAGGATCATAGTGTCTTTCAGAGACGAGGCCATGACTTAATCATGAAAATGAAAATTCATCTTTCTGAAGCTCTTTGTGGCTTCAAGAAGACGGTAAAAACCCTGGATGATCGAATTCTTGTTATTACATCCAAATCAGGTAATGTTTCAAATGTGTGTTTCCATTGAGGTTCTGTATGTTTGGCATAATGATTCTGGCAAGGTAGCCTAATATTTTTTAATCGATAAATAATTTATGTAAAAAAACGGGTAATGATCAAGTCAGAGTATGTGAGGTATCTGCCACCTTGAGTATTATTTCTGGGTGTTGGGAATAGCCTGGTTTCACATTTCAGGTTGACTTCTGTTTAACAAGTTATCATGATTGATTTTTCTCTAAAGTCATCACTAATGACTCCAAAGCATTTTATTAATTTCTTTTATATTTTCTTAGGAAAAAAAATTCAGAGGGGGAGGGGGACCTCTGGCAAAAAAAGTTCAGAGTTGGGGGTAAAAGCCTCAAATAAGAATCTTGGGGGTCTAAAATTCTAGCTGGAATCTGCCAACTAAACTTAAATTTTAAAAATTTATTTTTATGTAATAAAACACAGCTGATAATAGTAGTGTTTTTCTATCAAATGATGATCTGTGCTGGTCCGTCCACATGTTCCTCTAGCCTGTGTTGTCGCTTAGCCATGAGAAGAGATGTTTTAAGATAGAATTTTCCTGAAAATAAAAGACAGGGTATGTCAGCTTATCCTTGGAGGCATCCACAGGAACCGTTGGTCTACACACACCACAGGAGCCAGAGGAGCTGCCTTGGGGCCTGAGTTCAGCCTCCCAGCCCTGTGTAGACACCAGGGCACTCAGCTCCCAGGAGAGCACTGGGCGCCTGCCCGTAAGTGGCTGAGAAGGGGGAGAGGCCGCCGAGGGACCTTGGCTTGAGGCTGCTTCTGAAGCACTGAGGTCAGCGGTACCCATCAGGGACAGTCTGGACATGTGTGGCAGTAGCCAAGGCGCCCGGGCAGCTCAGGGCCTGCACCAGCCACGAGCAGTGCTGCTCTAGGGCCCTCCCTGTGGAGTGGCTTTTCCTAGGCCATCTGAGGTCTGGGGCTACAGGGGCAGTTTCAAGCCCGGGCTGGGCAGCCCACCCATAAGGCCGTCTGGGGCAGTGACAGCTCGCGATGAGGCTTCGAAGTCCCGCGGGACGAGCGAGCCCCGTGCCTGCCTGGCCAGCTTCCAAGACTTTTGCTGCCTCAGTGCCATGTCTCTCTCCCCCTTCCACTCCTTACCTGCTTTCGTCTTCCCAGCCTTCTTCTCTTTCTGTCACTTTCCTCTCTTTGATTTTTTCTGGTTCCCCTTTTCTGCGGATAACATGAAATGAAATGATACATCCAAGTCTTGATCAGAGTTTGTGGGGTTTTTAAAAAACTTTTTATTTGGAAACAATTTCAAACATACAGAAATCTGTAAAGAAAGCTGGGCATGGTGGTATGCACCTGTCACCCCAGCCGCTGAGGAAGCTGAAATGAGAGGGTCGCTCGAGGCCAGGAGTTCGAGTTCTGCCTGGGCAACATGGCAAGACCCCCATCTAAAAACAAACAAAAAAGTTGTACAGATAAAAATAGTCCAAGGCCCACCCATAAATGATTTGCCCCTTGTTAACATTTTATCTCATTTGGTTTTTCATTTGCTCTGTGTGGGTATGTTTGTATACAGACACTCCGTCAGGATTGGGGAGAAGCACTGCAACATAATGCAGAATGTGCACGAACATTTTACACAAAACACTTGCCTTTAGGCTCTGTTGCATGGACCTCCCAGGGAACCCATTTGCTCCCCTCACTTGAGGAGGAAAGGTTGAGGACCCCCGTTTACCGTAGCCCCAGGCTACTGGTCGCGAGCAGGTACATGCCCAGTACCCAGCGTTGTGTCCCGGACTCCCCAACACTGTCACAGCCCGGTTCTAGCCCTCCCGAGAGCCCGGGCTGGGCAGCATCTGTGTGTAACTTATTTGGGAAAGCCCGTCCTTGGCCAGGGGCTGCTGATTTGAGGTCTTGTGTCAGCGTGACAGAACGCCCGGGCACAGGGCCCTGCCGTGGGGCCTGGAGCCCGGCGCTCACCACCCCAGCTGACCCCGGCCTGGGAGCCGGGAGGACAGCGTGAGGGTGGGAGGGAGGAGCCACGGAGGGGAGGAAGCGGCAACCCCTGAGAACCCGTTTCCTTCCCTGGTTACAAGGAAGGGCTGAGCAGCCAGAAAACCTGCTGTTGGAGATCCCTTTTTGGTCGTCTTTCTCTGTGGTGTTCTTTTCCCCGTGCTTTTTCTTCGTTCTCATTTATCTTTTTTTGTATCTTCTCTTCTCTTTTTCACCCCTCTTTTCTTGTTTTGGCTTATTTCTTGTTTCTTCATTTCCTCTTCTCCCTTGCCCTCCTTTCTCCTGCTGTCACAGTGCTTCAGAATCAGAGTAATGCAAAAATGGCTTAGGAGAGGAGCCACACGGGTTTGGCGGCGCCGCCGCTGGTCGGCGGATACCGCGTGCTGGGAGAGCCGGCCGCGCGGTCTTCCTTCTCTCCCCCGTCTCCCACGCTTGTGCCCACGGCTCCCACAAGCTAGAAACAGGAGTGTGGGGAGTTGGGCTTGAGAGCGGCACAAGTGACACCGGTAGGCACGGGGAGACAGGTTAATCACGTGTTGCCTGACAGTGGGGATATAACCTGAGAAACTGGTCTTAGGCGATGTGGTCGTGGGAACATCATAGACCGTATTCACACACACCTAGACGGCACAGCCTGTGGCCCCCGGCCGCAGACCGGCCAGGTGCCGCTGTGCTGGACGCCGCAGGCAGTGATAACACGTGGTGAGAATTTGTGTATCTGAGCACACCCAAACCTAGAAAAGGTACAGTGAAAACACGGTGTTATAATCTTAAGGGACCACTGTCACACATGTCGTGTGGTGTTGACGGAGACGTTATGCGGTGCATGACTGTATTTAAAAAAAAAAACCAAGAACACAAAAGCCCAGCAGCCCAGGGCCGATTAGCTCAGGGGCCACCATCCTGCCCCACAGTAGGCTCTCAGGCCAGACCGAGTCACAGCCCTGCCTGTCGATGACCCCCAAGGGTGGAGAGTCATAGGCACACTTTATTTTTTGGAAACTTGTGTGTTGTACTTTTAAAGATTTCCTCTTGAGAGAGACGTCAGCTTCTGCACAGCCCCTTACGGGTGGGGCTGCTGGGTAAATCAGTGTTTAGCTCCCTCTTCATCCCCCGCCCTCATTTGTTCCTGAACATTGCTGTACTTTGTCCGTGTTCATCACCGAGCTGAAGAACATGCTTTTTCAGAAACATTTTATCCTTTTCCTTCCCCACGCTTGGAGAGAAATCACATTTTTAGATTGGGGGAGAGCCTCCGAGCTCTGGGGTTCTAGACTCCGAGACGCCTTCTGAACTCCCGCAGCTGCGAGACCCAGCGGTGCAGCCGGGAGTCCGGCTGCAGCTCACCAGCGTACACGGAAGTGCGTACACAGTGGCCAGAGCCACCTTGTGAGCTCCCTACCTGGGAACCTGATTGTCACCTACAGGGGGTCACAAGCCGGTTTTCATGCCAGGTGGGGGCTGGTTGGATTCCTTGGAGGCCTCTTCCTGTTCCAGGCTCTGCTTGAGTGTGCAGGGAGCAGACTCTTGTCCCTCTCATGGTAGAAGAGGCAGGCTGACAGGTGTCTCAGCCCCGTTGTATGCAGCCTGGGTGTTGTGACTTCCACTTCGCTTTTCTAAAACCCCCCTGGTGATGGAGACTTCAGCATGCTGCCCCCTTGACACACTGCCGGCCCCTCCTCCCCCCACCAGACAGCACCTGACAGTGGTGACTCAGTCGGGCGCGACGTTAGCCCTTCCCGTGCCTGCTGCCGTAGCGGGGCTAGGGCTTGCTCCCAGCTCCTCCAGAAGGGAGACTGGCCTCTACAGACGGCCCTCCGTCTCCCTGTGTCATAACCGAACTTCTTCTGTGGCAGGTGAGGTGATAAAGCACGGGGACCTGAAGTGTGTGCGAAACGAAGGAATGCCCATCTACAAAGCACCCCTGGAAAAGGGGACTCTGATCATACAATTCTTAGTAAGTTCGCTGCATCCTCTTCTCATCATTAAAATGCCTTCACGGGAAGGGGAAAAAGCAACTGCCTTTCTTCGCCATCTCGCCCTTCACAGGTCGTCTTTCCCGAAAAGCACTGGCTCTCTCCAGAAAAGCTTCCTCAGCTGGAAGCTCTGCTCCCGCCGCGACAGCAGGTGAGGATTGCAGATGACATGGACCAGGTGGAGCTGCAGGAGTTCCATCCCAGCGAGCAGAACTGGCGCCAGCACGGGGAGGCCTACGAGGAGGACGACGACGGGCCCCGGGCCGGAGTGCAGTGCCAGACGGCATGACCGGGCAGGGCCGCGCAGCCTGCCAGACTAGCGCACGATGAATGTAAAGTTGGCTCAATGAAAATGGCATCGCTTTAATGGCCTCGTGTTTGGGGTGTCCTGTGTATGTGTTCAGCATTCAGTTGCTGAGTGTCTTTTGGGGTTTTCTTTTGGTTGTAACTTAAGTTATAGCTTAATTTATATTTAAATGTTTTAAGTGTAAATCACCTCCAGTCTGCACATGGAATCTGTTCATTTACACTTCCAAGATATGCTTTTGAGACGCCAGTGACCGCACCAACACTTTGTGCTTCTCCTGGCTTTGCATTTTCGGTTCCACCAATAAAGCACAGCCCGGTACAGCACCCAGTCCCCTAGCGAACCCCAGGGCACAAAGTGGACATCCTGGCCCATCTCTAGGTCTGTGGTTTCTCTGCCCTCCCTCTCTCCCTCCCTTGGCAGAGTTACTAGGGCATAATCTCAGGGCTGCTAATAGGACATTTCTGAATCTAGATTCTAGATCCTCTTAAAGAATAAAAGCACATCTGCAGGTCGGACTTGGCTTCTGCGCCTGGCTAGCACACCCATGGTTGCAGAGCCGACCTAGTCCCTACCGTTCTGTGCCGTCAGTGGCTGGAATGGAGGTGTGATACGATCGGATTCGATCATCTCTCTTGGAAGTCTTCTGAACCTTCCAAGCCCTGTGGTGAGGATAAACCAGCGTTATTTTAAATGATACGCTGATACCACTGTTTGCCTGTGACTCCCGCACCTTGTTCTTTGTGGTTTTTTGACTTTTCTGTTGACAGCCTTTGCAGTGCTCTCCCACCAAAGTGCTTACTTGTAAAGACGAAACCCTCCCGTGCACCCAGCAGCCTCAGTGCAGCAGCAGAAGCCAAGGGAGAATGCTGGCGGCTTGGCCGTACGGCACAGCCAGCTTCCCTCTGACCAGTGATCCTGGGTGACTTGAGGATTTGGAAAGGCAAAAACGCCTCAGTGTTTCCCAGGTTCGGCTTCCTTCCAAAGGATCGTTCCTCTCATTGCACAGCCATATTACAAAGGGCTTCCTGCTCAAGGCATGTTTTGGCAAGAAAGGTACTAACCGAGTTCTGCTGTGGACTGCAGTTTGTGTGGACCGCCACTATAAATTATAGCTTGTTTGGAGGGATATTACTCATTATTTTATCCCTGGCAGGTAGACTACAATTTGAACTTAGGGTTACCTCAAACCTTTAGCCATTACTGCTTATTTCTTTCCCACAAGTTGTGAAGAAAAACTGCTACCTTCGAAGCTGCTGGGTTAAAGCAGAAGGCACCTGTCAGATCTACCCTTATTTGGTTATATGCTACCTAGAGTTTTGACTCAGACCAGGGACCTCCCCTAGGAGGGGCAAAGGGCAGATCAGACCGTGGCAGGTAGGGTGAGCCAGCTGGATGGACCAGGTTGAACATTGGTCAGGATAGATACAAAACTGATACTTCCAACTAAAACTATGTGAAGATCAATTTATAAATGGACCACAACTCCAGGGTGTTGTCTCTGTGCTGTGACTTCCTTCCTAATAAATTATTGCTAAATAATTATTGTTTAGTTGGTGATGGAACAAAATTACATTCAGCTCCTTGTCATGTAAGCGGAATTTGGAGGGTGTTGCTTAATTTTATTCCACCTGTACATTTGTCACCTTAAAATTAAAACTGAGCTGGTATGAGACAAGTGACTTTGCTTTTTCTTTCTTTGAGAGCTCAAATAAACAGTGCTAAGTGCCAGCTTGCCTCACGTTGGTTGATATAATGGAACGAAGTTTCCGCCCGCATGAAGCTTTATTTTGGGGGTAGGGGTGAATGCAAACGTCAGGTAGTAATAACTGCTACGACAAACAAGAGGAATGGGAAGAATAGAGGGAATAGGGGAAGGCGGCCTCTACAGGGAGCTGACATCTGAGCAGCTACCTGAACACGGTGAAGAGGCAGGCCTCTGATGGTCTGGGGGAGGAACATTCCGGGCAGAGCAAATGGCAAAGACGATGTGGGTACAAGAGGGGCAAGGCTGAGGCAGGAGAGGGGCACAGGGCTATGATAAAGAGCATGGCCTCTATTCTGAGGGTGATGGGTGGTTCGGGGAAAAGCACATGATCTGACTCACAAGCACATGATGTTATGATCAATAAAAAGCAGCAAGCTTCTCAGTGTTAGCTACTCAAGCCTTTCCCCTTAATATGCATACCAAGTCTCAAGGGCACTGCCGAAGAGAAAACTCTGAGGTACGGGTACTCTGGGATAACTGGCAGGGCTGGAGTTCAACCAGTAGGCGCAGGCTCGAGCCTAAAGACAGCAAGAACAGCAGTCTGCACTCGGCACCCACTCGGAGTCAGAGACCTCTCTGAAATTACTAGGATAAAAAGGAGGGCGTGGCAGAGGACATCTTTAATACATCAAACAGAGGGATGCCCAGACAGATGGGACTACACAACGTCAAATACACTGTTTCCTCCAAGACCCCATTCTGAAATAGATGAGCTTCTTTATCACGGCTTCTGGGAGCTCGCTGCTGTTACCTTGCCACGTGAGTCAATCCCCTGGAAGAGTGGGCCTGTATTTTTAAGCTGGCAAGTTCAGTAAGTGCCTGGATCTCTTCATCTTTGAGGCAGAGATTCACTCTTACTTACCCGTGCCAACTCCCCTCCCTCACTGTTCTACCGGTGAAAGGGTAAGTGAAAAAAGAAGCATGTTCAAGAACGCAGGTGTTTGCATTAAGAACACTTTATTTATGTTAAAGTATGAACAGCATTTCCAATAAAACATGAAAAGATTTATATTACATCTACAAAATTTAAGTCTTTGCTACAATAAATCCTATATTTCTTTTAAACAAGCCTAAAAAGGTAAGGAATGTCATGATCAATCTGTACATTCTCTTTGCAGCGTGGCCCTGGAAGACTTTGATGTTTAAATTGGACAATCGTAGATGTGAATTTCCTGGTCATCTCCAACAGACACAATTTTTGAGCCATTTCCATTGTATTTGACTCCCCAGACCTGTAAATTAAAAAACTGTTCTAAAAATGCCTTCATTCTTTATAAACAATGTTTATGAAATGAACATCCTTACTTTCTTATTATTCTCAATCTGGAAAAACACTCTTGAGATGAGGATGTTCTAGTACTTTCTAAATCAGTGAGAATGGAGCCATTTCTTTAACCAAGCATCTTCCATTATTGCTATGTAATTATCATTCCCCTCCCATACTCCAAAAAATTTCATTTTCAAATACAGTACTAAATCAAGATACCTACAACTCCTTCAAAGACTCAGAATCCAGAGGGTAACCTAGTACTAGGAAGATGGAACCCACAGAGACCAACATTCCCTTCTAAGAAGAAAAAGGCTCCACAACTATCCAAGGTCACTGCCTACAGGGAAAATTGCAAACTGTGATCCTCACCGGACTCCCTGTGCCCACCTCCCACGGTCAGCACTTCTCACTCCGTTATTGGAGGGCTGTGGAGCCTGCGTGTCCCCAGGACACAGACAACATGGTATTGTGGACCATAGATTTTATTTGCTATGTGTTGAATTAACAGATTCACACATACTTCCCAGACAGAATTGATGTGGTTGGAGTTTCTCTAATTAGGAATAACTTCCTGGTTATTAGGAGGTGATTCTAGGTGGTCAACCTGTCACCCTAACCCTGAGAGGGGTGTCCAGCTCTGATTTTAGTGTTGTGATTGATGGCCTCACTTCCACACTAAACATCTTCCTCTGAAACAGCACCACAATGACCCCCACACACAAGACAGCACAGGCAGTCAGGACTTACTCCCCGAGTAAAATGTTTAACACGTTAACGGCCATGTGAGTCGTATTTAACTCACGCTAGTTTTGAGCCCACAGCCTCGTGAAGCAAAACCTGGCAAAATCCTGCAGTTGGTTCATGAAAATCTTACTTGTTAATGTTCTTATTGTTACAGTTAATATTGACAAATTAATTCCAAAAACACGGATTAAATGAATAGAAGTCCATCAATTTCGTTTTTCATTAAATTTTTCATTAAATTAGAAATGATTGTTTTGTTTTCAAAGTTTTTATTTTATTTTCATAATAAAACAACATGGCCCCAAGGAAAAAAAAACTTTTTCTTCTAGTGTGGCAGTCAGTGTGTTAGTTAAATCCAGGAGTGGAATGTCAAGATTCAACCCCCTCAATTTTACTGGCAACAATTTAAGATTAAATGTAAAAAAAGCACAATTATGTTAACTTTAGTTGCATTTGAAATAGGAGAACTCTACAGGATCACCTAAAAGCATTTAAAATATATGAGTAAAAGCCAATTTTATACATTAACAATTTTTATGCTGAGCTCCCCAAGACCCTTGCTACCCACAGTGGTCGGGACCAGCAGCCCCGGCCTCACCTGGGAGCTGTCAGAAACACAGACCGTCAGGCGCCCCCAGACCTACTGAGTCAGAATCTGCATTTTAACCAGATCCCCAGGCGATTCCTACGCGCATTAACCATCCAGCAGTATTGCACTAGAACACCTTTCTTGACCATTGGCAAAGATAAAGACTCCTATAAGAACAGTCTCCTTTTAAAGATTGAAACAAAAGTCATCAATACCACTTAAAGCCAAACAACTTGTAAGAATTTCCAGCTTCCACTACATTAAAAAAAAAAAAAAAAATCACATCACTTCTTTGGACAGTTCCCAAACTGACAAGTGACGACTGTTTAAGCAAGGGAAGCTGCTGAAGAGGAAGGTCCTTTCCGAGCACGGCCAGCATCACCCAGAGGGACCCTCGGGCGCGCCACAAGCACCAGCTGCAGCAACTGCCAAAGAAGGCGGGTAAAGGCGGTGTGGCCCATACCGCGTTTTCTGGCCTATGTGGGGATAAGCCTCACGGGCTGCGAGGCTGCGAGCGTGTCCCAACCTCTGCACCCAGACTGTGCACAGAACACCGGCCAGATGCACATCCAAGCAGTCAGGGCTGCTCAGACCCAGGGCTCTACCAGTCTCAACAGATCAAGCAACACGGCTAGGAAAAGGAAACCATTTTGGCACAGTAGTCAATGTCAGAGACCTAAAACCAAAGAAATTTAAATGTTAATTATGCCATACCTGATCCTGGTGATCGAAGAAGGTGTGAACACAAGTCCTCGTTCCAACATCCCAGACTTTTACACTTTTGTCAGATGAACTATTTTAAAAAGTGAACATTAGTATCAGACAAGAGTTTTCACACAGGTTTGAAGTTCGAAGAAATCTGACCAAAAATCTTACTCCTTCACTGACTGATATTCTTCTAACTTCAGAGGCCTCCCTGCCCAGCGCAGATGGCCAGGGCATCGGCATGGGTGGCTTTCCCTCCTCACAAGGCAGCCGTGTCCCTGACAGTCTGACCTGCCTGGCCCTCATATTAGGTGGTCTGTCCAGGGTCTTGGACACACCTACCTATCTCCGAACGGGAGGGAGGCCTGCTCAATCTTCAAAATAAGCTCCCTGAGGAGGCCTCTGTAAACCACTGTGCAGCGCCTTTAAGCTGCCACCTCACGTTTCTCAGCCGTCCTGCGCCTGAACGACACTGGGGTCTCTAAGCACAACATTTTACAAAGAGATTTATATATGTGAAGTTACTGTTGAAACATACTGATACCTTTAGAGTAAGTTTAGGTAGAAGCCTAGATTTGTAAGGAAAAACTAAGAGAATAACTATTCAAAGGAATTCACCTTTGTTCCAGCTAAGGTCAACTAACTTCACTAAATAAAAATTTTACAAACTGCAGAAAAAGAAGGCTACCTAAATAAAAAAGGGTCATACAATCTTCAAATTTTAAGGCTATCCATACAGGAAGACCATTTTCATCTTCCTAGCATTTAGAAACTGTTAAGAATTATATGTACCTGGAAACAAAATGAGTGTCATCAGGACAAAACGCAACATTCAGCACCCAGGAGGCATGGCCGCTCAGTGTGCCAGCCAAGTTGGCATGTTGTCTGAAATGGGAAAGGTTCAAACAAAATGGAGATTTAGTTTTTAGAATATAATCGCTGAAGTGGAAAGTATATTATTAACTCTGCTCATATAATTGGACCAAATTTGCTATCCTTATTAATGCCCACATTACTACATCACAAACTCCCTTTCCAAGGAAGTGGCATCACGCGTTACAGAGAAAACTATTTTTACAGTGGCATTAACCCAAACTGTGTTGATGCCACCAAGAGCTGAGAATAAGATCCCTAACAGAAAGCTTAAAAGCTCAAAATAAATAACCACACTTTAAGAGGCTCTGCAAGCCAACCCCTAAGATGACGAAACTGAGAACCAGCGGGGGTGAGTAAGCCATTTTAGGAGAGCGGCAGGTTCAGATCCTGCCTGCACCAGCAACCTCTCCACGTGGGGCCAGGGCCTGTGTCCAAGGAAAGCACCAAGACACACTCTATGACAGATGCGGCTCGGATAGACCGTTTTACCCTCATCAATAAAAAGACAAGTCTACTTTCCACAGCCATTTCTACTTTTTTAATAAAAGCGAAACCAAATCGCCTAACTTCAGAGGCCTCCCTGCCCAGTGCAGACGGCCAGGGCATCGGCACCGTCGGGTGGCCTCACAAGGCAGCCGCGTCCCTGACAGTCTGACCTGCCTGGCCCTCACATTAGGTGGTCTGTCCAGGGTCTTGGATGCATCTACCTATTTCCGAACGGGAGGGAGGCCTGCTAAATCTTCACGAGAACTGGCAAGCTAATAACCCTAAGGCCTAAGTGAGGTCAGCAGTTTTACCCCTGAAAACAAATCTCAGCAGAGTAGAGCAGACCTCAGTCAGCTGTTAGGAAGGGCAGGCTCAGGGGGATGCAGTGGGACTGTGCGAGGGTAAAAAGTCCTAGATCTTCATTCAGTACCACCTTGTGCAAATCACCACCTCAGCCTGGGTCCCCCATGTGCACAACGGGGACACTAATCCGTGCTGCTACCTCACTGGTTGCTGGGAGGATCGATAAAATAGTAGCAACAAAAGTCATAAAATACAGTCAGATATGTAAAGAATTTCTACATTTATACGGGCTCTGTTACCACCAAGCAAGTACAACTCTAGAGAGACATCTTACCCTCTGGACCCTAGCCCCCTCATTTGGCTCTACTTTCAAAAGCTGCAGTTCTAATTCCATGTCTACTTGTCCTTTTGCCATCCAAAAGCTGCCAGAAGTAGGCTAGAAGAGCAGGGTTTCTACTCCCAAGTCTGAACTCCCAAAATACTCTCACAGGCTCCTGAAAGGACATGCGTACAAATGATCAGGTTGTGGCACGTGGGGGTGGAGGCAGTCTCGGCACCCATGGCCGGGGATGGAGGGTGTGACGTAAGCACATGGTGGAACAGAACGCCACGTTCAGGAGCAATGAACCAGAGGCACACCTGGCAGGGAGAGCTGGTCACAGCACCAAGGACACGTATCAAACACACTACAGGGGATATTTCGGGGGAACAGGAGCAGGGGCTGAGAATGATGGGGAAAATAAGGGGCCTGCACAGGCTCGCAACGATACAGAGCTGTGAACTGAAGACAATAGTTATCTCGCGTCGGTATCGGCAGTACCAACAACCGAAATGCTGCCCCATCTAGACCTGCAGTGGGGTGATTTACAAACGCACGGCTCCCTACCTAGGGCAGAGGAGTGTCTGCTGGAATACCCCCACTCCTAAAAAATGGATGTTCTTATTTTTTACTGTCACTTGGGGTCAACCACAGCCCATAGCTCCATTTCTTCATCTGTATACCACTTACCTACCCTCAAAGAATTTAAAATCAGCAAGCCCACAAAAGACAGGCTGCCTGACAAAAAGTAGCAAGTATCTGATCCTACCAGAGAACCCACGCAGGTCTTCCTCCATGCAACCTTTGAGGACACACGCTAAGCTCAAAGACAGGGGCACTGAGCGATGGAGGATGGCCTGAGGAGACAAGGGTGTCTGATGTGACCTGAGCACAAACCTTCACTAGATCCAGGACAGGGAGCAGCACACCCCCCAGGGCTCCTCCTAACAATAAGGGGACAAGAACATGCACTGGTGGTGAGACACTTTTCATCTCGACAAGGTAACTTACACATCATAGATCTTGATGTAGCCATCATCTGAAGCAGTGACGAGGAGCTGAGAGTCCGGGGAAAAGGTCAAAGAGCGAATGGGCATGGCATGGCCTGAAATTCAAAAGGCCCCTGTGAATCTGGCAAACCACTGTCTCCTCTCTGTCTCCTTATATGGCTGCCCACTGACTATGCCCCTTTTAATGACCATGAGTCACTGAGCTGGACTGCCCAGGTGCTCCATTCAGGAAAGGGAGGGTACTAACTGGGCCCTTCCTTACTGTTCTAGAAACATCCACATAACCCCAGCTTCTCCTCCCGAAGCCATTTCTCCTTATTACCCTTCCCTGAAGTCAGCATACATTGCTTTAAAAATCTCATCTTCTACAAATATGGCCAAACATGGAAACATGCATTGCTTCTAACGTAAGGGTGAACAAATGTTATTTCTCTACCAAATCTTTTATTGCAGGGTAAAGGATAAAGTGAGGAGGTGATATATTCACTTGGTTAGAATTCAAAACTGCACAGAAGCACATGTCATGACATCTTCTCCTACCCTACACCTGGTTCTTTGGCTACCCAGTTCTCCTCCCCAGAGGCCACTGGTGTGGAGGGCAGGCATAATACTTTCATCTACCTTCAAATTATCAACAAAAAAAAGTTGTTTTCCAATCACAAAGTTCTTTAGAACAAAAATGAGACATTCGTATAGCTAGGATATATTAACACATAAATAAAAAGTAAGTTTGTTCACCAAAACAAGCATTTAACACTGTTATAAGAACTAATATTGTCTAGGTTAAAACTACAGTGACAGGACTAAAACCTGGATATAGGCCGGGCGCGGTGGCTCACGCCTGTAATCCTAGCACTCTGGGAGGCTGAGGCGGGCGGACTGTTTGAGCTCAGGAGTTCGAAACCAGCCTGAGCCAGAGCGAGACCCCATCTCTACTAAAAATAGAAAGAAATTAATCGGACAACTAAAAATATATAGAAAAAAATGAGCCAGGCATGGTGGCACATGCCTGTAGTTCCAGCTACTCGGGAGGCTGAGGCAGAAGGATTGCTTGAGCCCAGGTTGCTGTGAGCTAGGCTGACGCCACAGCACTCACTCTAGCCAGGGCAAAAGAGTGAGACTCTGTCTCAAAAAAAAAAAAAAAAACCTGGATATATTTCAGTTTTCCAACTGAGATTGGTGGTATTTTGCAAATCTAATGCTAATTGGTCATTTAATGGCATTTTAATTAAAGAATAATTCTTCCTTTGTGATGTGATAATCAATTTGCAAAAACATGACGATAAGCTCTACCTTCTAGCGTATGCAGAAGTTTTCCCGTTGCAATATCAAAAATATTGATGATTCCGTCTATGGCTCCACTGGCCAGGTACTTCCCATCAGGACTCTGTTCAGAGAACACATGGAAAAATGGGCACTTGGGGACTCCACGTTGTTAAGCTATCCCTACCAAACACAAGCAAGTCTCTTGCTGGCCACAGGTCTAACAGGCTGGCTGGCAAAGCACACCAGCAAGGCTGTGGCTGCTCAAGCAGCCCAATGCAGAATCTGTGCCGAGGACCGGAACAGGCTGGAAGGGTAAACTGAAAGAATCAGAAAGAGAAAAGAGAGCAATGTTTCCTTACATATGCAATACTAAGAATGAATTTTCCTCTTGTGTCCAAAGAATATTCCTTTTTCCCACTTTCCACACCAAAAATGTTCACTTTCCCCACATGAGTTCCTGTGGCCAGATACTGGGAATCAGGAGAAAAGGCCAAAGTCCAAGCATCCACTAAACAGAAAAATGAAGGAAAAAAATACAGTGAGAACAGATTTGACCGTAACTTTAATAACTAAAGTTTTATCAAAAGACACTTTTTCAATTGAATAAATGGTGTTCTGACTCAGAAAACTATGTTGTAAAGATGCTAGTTCTTTACCAGCCCTTAAACTAAATTTAGCTTAAGGGCTTCTTAAATTTTTAATGAAAATAGGACAACACCAAGTGTTAATAAGGATATGGAGAAACCAGAACCCTCATACACTGGTGGGAACGTAAAATGGTATAGCCATTTTGAAAACCAGTTTAACAGTTTCTTAAGAGAAAACACATACTTATCATAATCCCCAGCAATCCCACTCCTAGGTAGTTACCCAAAAGAAATGAAAACATATGCCCACGCAAAAACTGGTATTCTCATGTTCACAGCAGCTTTATTCGTAATAGCCCAAAACTAGAAACAATCCAAATGTCCATTAACTGGTGAATGGACAAACCACACGAGGTACGCCCTTACAATGGAATCCTATTCAGCAATAAAAAGGAACAAATCCATGCTAACAACATGAATGAACCTCAAAAACATCACACTAAAGAAAAAGACAAACATAATTCCACTTATATGAAATTTTTCAAAAAGGTAAAACTACAGAGATAGAAAGCAGATCAGTGGTTGCCTGAGACTGAGAGTAGGAGCAGGGACTGACTGCAAGTGGGCAGGAGGGAAACTTCTAGGTGTTCTAAAACTAAATTCGGGAGATGGCTACACAACTGTAGAAATCTACTCAGTTAACTGTATTTTTAAATGAATGGGTTTCATAGTGCAAGTACAGAAGTGAAATTTTACCTCAACTATAAATAAATGATGCACCAGAAATGCCCTTACATAAAACTATAATATGACAAAGTATTTGCCACAATTTAACTGAGAATATGGAACCGTGTAAAAAATCAATTAGTTTTTAAGTTACACCACACATCGTAGTTAATTTCGAGAGTTCTATCCAAATGTTATTTATGCACCACAGTGCTTCTTTGGCCAGAACATAAGGGTCTCCAGACTCAAGAGCGCCCTGGGTAAGCACAAGTGCTGTGTATGTCCATCTAAGACCACTGATGGTATTTTAGCGTTTCTTTTCTCAGTTACATGAGACCCTTCAGAGGCAATCCTTCAGAGCTTTAAGAGTTGGGTCAGAGCCAAGAAGCCAAGGAACAATCTTCTAGTTTCTACTACCTGCCTGGGTTGTTCTTCCCAAGCCCACTCTTACATGGGAACACTCCCAAAGCCCCGCCACCTCTCACATCTGCCTCAACTGTGCTTGTCAGATCCAAGGGAAAGAAGAACAAGGGTCCTTCCTGAGTCGCCTTCCTCATTCCGGGGACAGGGCTCAGAGGTCAGGACTGTTGGCCTCCCCTACTCTTCTCAGCTCATGGGACAGTGAAAGAGGATAGGCCTCTGTGAGCTTTTTCGTGGTAGACAAAGGCTCTAGCATACATGGGTCACTACCACATCCAAGCTATTTTTTAAAATAAAATTCTCACACACATATTCTAAGTAATAATAAATCATTTATCACTTTACTTAGGAAATGTTTTGAAAATGAAATTTACTTCAAAAGTGCTCAGTTAACCAAGAAGACCTAAAAAAGCTTTTATCGACCTCCAAATAGCTGCTTTTTAAATATCTATCTTTATTCCAAAGTGACAGTAGCATTTATTCTAACAGGAGTATGTTTTCTTATCCCTATTATAATTAGCCATTTACATGAATAACTGTTGGCAGAAAAACTTTTTTTTTTTTTTTTTTTTTTGAGACAGAGTCTCATTCTGTCACCTGGGCTAGAATGTACTGGCAACGCACTGGCGTCATCGTGGCTCACTGCAACCTCACACTCCTGGGCTCAACGGATTCTCCTGCTTCAGCCTCCCAAGTAGCTGGGACTACAGTCCTGTGCCACTACGCCTGGCTAGTTTTTCTATTTTTTGTAGAGACGGGGTCTTTCTCTTGCTCAAGCCGGTCTTGAACTCCTGGCCTCAAGCAATCCTCCAGGCTCGGACTCCTAGAGTGCTAGGATTACAGGCATGAGTCACCGTACCTGGCCAGAAAACCTGATCTTTATTCCTCAAAGTTTAATAAAATACTTGTAAATTATTTTTAGATTTCCCTATAAATTGTTTTTCAACATAGAACTTTTAGTACCAAATATCCTTATGCTCAAGAAGGAATAATTTTTATTCCTCAATTAAACCTTGCAATCTAAGATTTTAATATTTGCATAACAAATATTTATTTTAATCAGTTCTACCTCATCATTTAAAAAGTTGTTTTTCTTTACCTTTGGGCATCTTGAACCACCTGACATCGAGAGGACTCATATTCCCACCTTTGTTCTTCTTCACAGTCAGCTGCTGGAAAGCCACAGCCGGGCTGGGGTGCCAAACGCAGGCTCTTCCCCTTCATCTTCGCTTTCTTCTACTTCCTCACTTTCTTCTCCAGGACCTGGGATTTGCTCTCTTTTCCTTTTCTCTTCCTTTTGCAGTGGTTTACATTCTCCACGCGTATTTTCAAGACCCATATAACTTAAGTATCTATTTCCCCTACATTCATTAGACCTAGACTCATCAAAGGAGTTTTACCTTCAAATGAATTCAGCTGCTCTTTAGCAGCCACTAGCAATGCTTGCTTTTGTTACTCGACCAAACAACTATTGTTTAATGGCCTGGTCTAGTTTCATGCAGAGTCCTATCCAAAAAGAAAATAAATCCAACCCATTTATTCCCCTTTTTCTTTCATAACAGTAAACTTTACAACTTTGCACACTTGGAGAATATCCAGTATAAGGGACGTTTGTCGGGGAAGAACTGGCAGACACACTATCCTTTTACTTGGAACCAATCCAGCACTCCTTTCTTCAGCTGTTGTGTGCCCAGGGCCACAACAACCATGCAGTGACCAAAGTGTTATGTGTCCTGGGAGGGCTTAGGTGTCTGAGATAAAAAAAAAGCAGCAAAAGATCTGTCTCTTCCTCCTCTCTTTTTAAGATGCTCTTTATATATCAGAGTCTTAATAAACTCTGCAGGATGGTTTCCAAGTCCTCTGTAAGTAATGTAAACAGGGTAAGGGCACATGCAAAGACAAACATCCCGGCAGTCAGACTGTGTGAGTAGCTTTTTCCTAATACATATCCCAGCCTACACACTCTGAAAACTGTGATTCAGTGAATTCAAAATACAGGCTGGGCATGCATACTTTTTAAAAAGTGCTAGTAGTAAGAATCATAGATAAGGAATACTGCTTCTGAGGGGAAATGCAGTCAGCTTTCAGACAACCCAATATAGAAATAGCCTAGGATGGGCTGGGCGCGGTGGCTCACACCTGTAATCCTAGAACTCTGGGAGGCCAAGGTGGGAGGATCACTTGAGGTCAGGAATTGAGACCAGCCTGAACAAGAGCAAGACTCTGTCTCTACTAAAACTAGAAAAAATTAGCCGGTCAACTAAAAATAGAAATAAAAAATTAGCCAGACATGGTGGCTCATGCCTGTAGTCCCAGCTACTTGGGAGGCTGAGGCAGGATCACTTGAGCCCAGGAGTTTGAGGTTGCTGTGAGCTAGGCTGATGCCATGACACTCACTCTAGCCCGGGCAACAAAGAGAGACTCTGTCTCAAAAAAAGAAATAGCCTAGGATGGCTACCAAGCATAACTGGTAGGAGGCAAATCCAGCTGGGGCGTCAATCAAGGGAATCATGTTAATGAAGCACCTAAGTAGCTCTTCTACAATCAACCCACAAAGGGGTGTGCCAGAGACAGCAGGCTATCTGACCCTCTAGCGGTCACACCCATTCTGGCAGAACAGGCTCTGCTGGTGAATGCCATGTAGTCATTTATAAGTAAATACGAGGCCTAAAAGAATCCTGAAATGTCCTGCTGCTTGTTCCACTTAAATCCAGCCCATTGACATCAAATTCCATCACCTCAGACGATGCTTATCAAGGTTAATGGACAAGATTATGCTGTCCTACAGTACTTAAAAAAGAAAAAAAAAATCAATGAATTTGTTTCTTAAAAAGTTTCCTATCTATCACATACTAGAAATCAGACCCTTTAAGCATAGTTAGTAGAGATTACCATGGTACAAATACATAAGGACACAGTGCTTCATGCTCTAAGCTTCTATAAGGCAGTGAATGTATCAATTCAGAACATGGCAAATAGAGAATCTCTGGACCATCCAAATATAGGTTCACAATTCCAAATCAGCAATTCTGAAGTCCAAAAAGCTCTGAAAACTATGAGTTTTTCCATAGGTTTACTACCAAAATTTATTTGGCAGCAAAACCTGACCTGACTGACATAAGGCTATTTATAGCCTTTATTTATCACACTTAGTATAAATTCTTATGTTTAGTTGTAGAGACATTAGTGTTTGATTACAGTGCTGTTCCAGCCCCACTGAAGGTACCATGTAATATACAGTTCATGCATCGATATCACCCCTTTCAAATCCAAAAAATTCTGAACTGTAAAATATATCTATCCCTAAGGGTTTTGGAAAAGGGATCATGAACCTCTATTTTCTCCCCTAAAAGTAAAAAACTCTTACCAGGTCCTGCATCTATAGACTTTATCTGTTTGCCGTTTTCCAAGTCCCAGAGCCGAATATGAGCATCAAGAGAACTGGATGCAGCAATGGGCAGGGTGTGGCTGATGTCCACAGACACCACCCCCAGCTGATGTCCCTCCAGACTCCATTGTAGGTCCAGCCTCTCATCACGCCTTCAACAGGGGACAGAGAAATGGATTTCTTCACACACAACACACTGTACCTGGCATGTGAAATTCCGGGTCCTTGTGACTACGCATTACCAATGGTCTATGAAATACAGAGTCAGAGAATTGATAAGCTATACAACAGCAAATGCTACCAAGATTTTACTTTGGGACTTTTTTATATCACCATATTGCTACTGCTTTCTTGCCTAGAAAAAATTAACACTTCCCTGATGGCGACTTGAGAGCCCACCAGCAAAACCCTTGTCCCCAGTCTCCCAAGTCTGTATGTTATGGAAGAGGTGCTCACCATTTCCAGACCTTTACCAGGTCATCCAGGGATCCTGTGACCACCGTCTCAGAGTTTTCCTTCTTGTTTGTCCCCCAGGCAACTGACCAAATGGCATCATCATGGGCTAGAATGGAAATGCTTCATTTATAAAGTTTTCATGCATGCAACTTCCAAATTTAATGTGATAAAATGAAGCTGAAATATTGTTCAACAATTGTGAGGTAACATCCACTTGTATCTTCTTTACTATTTTACAAGCACTTTCCCATACAGCTTTTATTGGAATTGTGGGGGCACATATGAAAATTGGATGTTCTGAAGAAGCACATGTTTACCAGGTGGGAAGGCAGTACCAAAATAAGCCAGGTCTTCAGACTCCAAATCCAACATCCTTTCCTTTAGCATGCTGTCCACATAAAGCAGTCTGGAATGGCTATCACTTGGATAAAACAAGTAAAACCAATGGGGAACATCCCATCCCTCCCAAAAAGACCTAAACTTCGTGAGAGATACCTGTGCTGTTTACAGTAGACAGTTCAATCGTAACAGCACGGGTCTAAAAACAAATACCTAACATAGTCTCCATACATAAGTTGCCTTTTACCAGAAGTACCTTTGTCATGCTTAATGGGCTAGTTATTACATTACAACAACCCTATGAAGAAGGTACTATTAATATCATCTTCATTTTACAGACAAGGAATCACAGCTTTAGAGAAGCCTAGTATGATAGCTCACCCAAAGTCACAAAGCTAAGGAGGGACACAGCTAGGATTCAAATCCAATCTCTCAATTAACCTTAAATCTAAGTTTGCAAGCTGCATGTTTGGTGGGCCATGCTGTTGGGTCTGCAGACCTGGTGCGCTTATAAAAATAGGACAAGTGCACATGGAGGCTTTATGCATGCCTGGCAGCAATTATCCAGGGCCACCTTTCCAAAATATGAATATAATGGCATTAAACAGCTGTGAGTTACATAAAGCGAGTCATGGCTTCAGTTACAATCCCCACCTGACCCCAGCCTGCTAACTTGCCACCTGGATGGCATTAGCTACATACGAGGTAATTCACTGACATGCCCATTTAGCTTACCAGTCACCTACACTAGCTAACTTGGAAGAATGCTTAAACTTCAGATGACCCAAATGGCACCTACTTAGAGTAGAAGAGCTTTTATTAGGCATTCCACAAATTCCTCGGGCCTCCCCTAACTCATCTAGTCTACGGTGAAGAAATAAGATGTGTGAGTAGTTCATGCATAAACACTACTCCTGGTTGTAAGTGAAGGACCCTATGTAAAGACCCCAAGGCAAGTTGCGAGTTCAGGGCCAGGCTCAAGTTCACCTCCCCAGGTGAGCTGGTATTAACAGAGTTCTGAGGCTCAAAGCGTTTCTTTCTTCCATCTTGGCAGCTGGGAAGTTCAGTTACGTCTTCCTCAGGTGGGAAAGCTTTCCTGAGCCTGGAGTTCTCCAGTCTATCATATGACTCCTGCTGCTTCTTTGTAGTAATAGTTAGTTGTTCAGGTTTTTTGTTTGTTTTTAAGTGTATTTGTTTTCGGCTGCCTCTGCCAATCTTCTGCAACGTTAGTTGGGAACTGCATGTCTGGTTGGCATTACAAAAATCTTAAAGAAACCAGGGACAACACAGTTTTTCACAGATGAATTTGTTTGAACAGGCAGACTACTTACCTTGCTCTTGTTTGAAGAGAATGCTGTACTAAAAAGGAAAAGCCACATTAAACCAATGGTCAGATTTCAGATATCCCACATCCCCTCCCTACCATACTCCCCCCAAGAAGATATGGTCATATAGTGTTAGCTACTTCCTCCGCTGTCACCCTGACCATCCTGCAAGCTCTCTGATAACCACTTATGCAAGATTTGTACAGTCATACCAGAAAAAAATTCTTAGAGAAACTGATACTTTCTCCTTCTCTACTACCCACCCCCAACAGGAGACTAATAAATTATGTTTTCTTTTTCTGCTGTGATCACCAGGAAGCTCAGAGTCCAGTTTGTAGCTTAATTTTTGCAATTGTGTAAGATGATACAGCCTGCATAATAACCTGTTAACTTTGTCCTAATCTTATTACATTCTATTTGTTGTTCTAGAGACAGGGTCTTCCTATGCTATCCAGGCTGGTCTTGAACTCCTGGCCTTAAGCAATCCTCCCACCTCCTCGGCCTCCCAAAGTGCTGAGATTATAGGTGTGAGCCACTGTGCCTGGCCCTAATCTTATTATAAAGATATGTTTCCCCATTCTGTCTTCTGTTCTCATCTTTTCTTTGTTTTGGTGTACAAAGTCTTTTAAGTTTCCTCAATCCCTCTCTAAACTGTGGTAAAGACTTAAACTAATCCTCCTCTTAGTGTCAAGCACTTTACTAGTGCCACCTAACTCTGTGGTGACTAGGTGCCCAGGGTCACCTAGCTCTTTAGGAGCAGGGCAAGAATTAGATGCCAGTTTTTTGACTACACACCCAGACAACCCACTGGACTTGAACTTGCCAGAGATCAAATGGTGTTTTCCCCCTAACACAAGACTTACCTGGTTGGTCATTTCCTTAACCAATGATGAAGAGCAAAAGGCCAGACAGCTCTGTGGAAACAACACCAGGGTTTTAGTAAGGGGGTGTCATCAGGACAGAGGGGTCTACAGGTGATTCCCCTTGACCAAGAAAATAAGGTAACCCTTTGTTATGGAGTTGTTCTGACACCTTTCTATAGATCAGTCCCTGGAACCTCCTTCACAAGCCCTACCAGGTAGTGTAGTCTTCTTCCCCCCTTTGAACCTAAAGACTCAACTAACACCTACCCCTAACCCATAATTTCTTTTCCCCAAGTCTGACTGCAGGGAGTGACCAGTCTCCGTCCCATGCTGCTCTTTAGAGAAACAAAACCACAGCCCCTTTTAATTTTAAATATTATTTACTAAAAACTCAACAACCAACATGGGGGAGTGCAGATATCCAAGTTCTTACTTTATACACAGAGGTCTCAACCAAAAATGCCTTTAAGAGACAATAGGCATATAAATAAGAGCAGGGACTGGAAGGAGACACATGTCTCTCAAAAGGCATCAAAGTCCTCAAGGACTTAGCTCAGCTAAACATAGACCTAACTTACTTTAAGTATAGATTTAATTGGCCAGGCGCCGTGGCTCACACCTGTAATCCTAGCACTCTGGGAGGCCAAGGCACGCAGATCCTTTGAGCTAAGGAGTTCGAGACCAGCCTGAGCAAGAGTGAGACCCTGTCTCTACTAAAAATAGAGAGAAATTAGCTGGACAACTAAAAATATATATATACAGAAAAAATTAGCCGGGCATGGTGGCGCATGCCTGTAGTCCCAGCTACTCGGGAGGCTGAGGCAGGAGGCTCGCTTGAGCCCAGGCATTTGAGGTTGCTGTGAGCTAGGATGACACCATGGCACTATAGCCCAGGCAACAGAGTGCAGAGTGAGACTTTGTCTCAAAAAAAAAAAAAAAGAATAGATGTAATTTCTCAAACTACATCAAGGGTTCTTATTTTTTGTGTGTGCCACAGACCCCTTTAGCAGCCATTTAAAACCTATAAACCCCTTCTCAGAATATCTTTAAATACAGAAAATACATAGGATTAGAAAGGAAACCAAGTACAGTGGATTCTCATTATTCACAGCAATTATGTCCTATAAAGTTGCCACAAACACCAACTTATCAAATAGTAAACCATCACTTCTCAAGGAAACACAGAGTTAGGTTCCTGAAAGCCTCTGGGCACATTTTTGTTAGCTGATCAATACATGACCATGTTTTATGTTTGTTTCTGCTTAAAGGCATTTTACTGAATATACATTGGAAATCATTAATATTAAACTCATGCCTAAACAAAGCTTATCTAACACATATTTTCTCCATAAGACACATCACAGCCTTCTTGCACTTAGGAACACTAGTCAACACTTCAGCACTATCCTTGGGGGCTATCTTAAACAGTGGAATCACCAACAAAAAACACAAAAATGCAAAAAGTGTGGCACCTAAAGACTGCAAAAAGGGCACAGTATGAAAGCTGAAAAAAGAAGGCAGAGTGTTGCCTTGTTTGACCTCAGCTGAGAACATGCACATCAGGAGACTTAAATTTTTCACCACCTTGCACATGGCCTGCAAAGTCCACAAAAGTGCTGCAAGTACTGATTTGGGGGGTACAAATAAATTTTAGTGACTAGGTGAATTCACAAATACTGAATCCACAAATAATGAGGACAGATTGTGTGTTGAAATTTTATCAAAATACAAAATCTAAATTTGCGAAAGCATGTATTTATTAACACTGTTATATAAGATCTAGCATCCGATCTAATAACTACCTTAATCTCAAAGTTGTAATGAGCTTAAACGACGTCCTGAGATATTAAAATAACTGTAATTTCTATTCATCACAAAGTCACATTGCTGATACTATGGTTTGCTGCCTATATTCATAATAAAAGAAAATGCTAAATTTCAGTTAGAGGTTAGGGAACACAAGAATGCAATTTTTCTTCTCATCCGAGTTCATGGCCCCCCAGTTCCACCTATGGGCGGTTTAACAGTTAAGGCATCCAGGTTCCAGATATGTGCTTTAAATTTGCAAACCTAAAAAACCTGCCAAAGGTTTTCCAAGAAATCAGAAAAACAAATGATTTCTAAATAATCCTTGCCTATAAAGATGTCACTCAGGTTGCAGTGTTTTATTCATTTGTGACTCAAGAACAGGGTTCTGCCCAGGGTAGGAAAGACGGGAAGGAGCTCAAGTCCATTTTGCTAACGTGAAGGGTGTTCAACCGCTGCTTAGGCAGTCCTCTGCCTGGTGAAGCATCAGCTTGCCTTTTTCCCGGCCAATCTGGGCCTTACATTTAGCAATAGATACAGACAAAAAAAGTAGGCAGTCTTGCAAGAAATCAACTTTCAAAAAGCCAGTCTCCCCAGGACAAGCGTGTGATTCCATCAACGAACGTGCATTTGAGAATGTACTATGAATCAGGTCCTGTTTTAAGTACTACACATAGATTAGATCACGGAACCCTTACAACCCTATTTAGTAGGTACAGTAGTCCCCCCTTATCCGAGGTTTCACTTTCCACGGTTTCAGTTACCAGAGGTCAACTGTAGTCCAAAAATAGATGAGAACAGTACAATAAGATACTCTGAGAGAGACCACATTCACATAACTTTTTTCTGACTATTGTCATAACTGTTCCATTTTATTATTACACGTTGTTTTTAATCTCTTACTGTGACTGAGTACAGTACAATCAGATATTCTGAGTGAAAGATCACATTCACATAAGTTTTGTTATAGCATATTGTTATAATTGTTCCATTTTATCAGTTATTAATATCTTACTGTGCCTAACTTAGAAATTAAACTTTAGCATACATATCTATGTACCGTATAGTAAAAAACACAGTACAGATGCTCCTGGACTTACAATAGGGCAATTTCCCAATAAACCCATGTAAAGTTGAAAATTTTTAAGTCAAACCATCCTAAGTCAGGGACCTTCTTTATATATAGGGTTCAGTTCTATCCAAGGTTTTATGAATCCACCGGGGGGTCTTGGAATGCATACCTTGTGGATAAGGGGAACTACCGTATTCTTATTGTCAGCTCCACCGTCCTAAAAAGAAGATCGAGGCTTACAGAGGTTAAGGAAGCTTCGCCAAGGGGAGTCTGACACTAGAAGGCAGATACAAGCTATACTAAGGCCACCAGGATACATTACCTCTCACTCCAGTGTCTTATCTCATGAAGTTACTTATATAGGTAAGAGACCTCAGAGCCCTCTTTGCCACCTCCTCTCTTTAGAAAACTTTCCCCTAATTTTCCCAGGCAGAATTCATTGTTGGTTCCTCAGTGTTTCCAACGAACACTACGGATGCCTCTATTAAAATACTCAGGCAAGTCAATAACCCACAGTACTACGTGGTACTTTTAGTAAAGCAAACCAAGCCTCTGCGTGACCTGTCCAGTGACCTGGAGCTCGCTACCTAAGGAGACAGCGTGGCCCACTATTGGAAAACTTCGGTTAAGACAGTCTTTCCGTCTACGGAAAAATGACCTCCGCCCAGAGAACGCAGCCTCAATCTCGGGGCTGCACAGAACATTCTGGCAATGCAAAAGCCCACCTACGGGCCTTCTCTCTGCCCTCAGGCCCCGTACACGGAGTACAACCAAGGTAAATGGAGTCATGGAAGCCACCCTCCGGCCCCGCGGCCTGGGGCATCCCAAAACAAACCTGCTTAGAGGCAGCCTCGGGCCCACCCTAGCTCACCCGCCCTCTGGCCCCGGCCGTCAGCGGTCCTAACGAACACCGTCACCAACGGCCGCGCGCCGCGACTCACCGGGAAACTGCCAGGATGCACGTTGGACGCCGGGCCGGGCCCGGGGCGACTGCGGCGCGCCGAGATGAGCTAGCGAAGGGGCGGGGCAGCTTGCCCGCCCACGCCCCCAGGCCCCCGGCGCATGCGGCTGCGCCCCCTGCCGTCGCTACGCCGCGCGCGAGCGGCAGCGGAGGAGGGTGGGCGGGGAGAGTGGGGAAGAAGCCACGCCCTGCGCGTTCCCCGCGCTGGGGGCCGCTGGAAACTTGCTCCCGGAAGCGCAGGGTCTTAGCTTCCGGCGACTGGGGCTTTCGGCACTTGGGTTGCAGTTTCTTTGTATTTTGGGATTGGGCTGAGCCTGACGTCTTGTAGGGTTCTGCTGCTAAAAAAGAAGTGGAATCGAGCTTTGTCTTTCAATCTGCAAGTCACGACCATTAATGTGACAGATATCAGTTTAGTAGGTCGCGACCAGCATTTTTAAACAATAAGATAGAAAGGAGGAGGCCCATGCCACATGCTGAGGAGGCTGCCCCACCGCTCCTGCTTGCTGGTCATAGCCCAGGTCTCTGTGTGAAGGAGAGAAGAGGTGTTTTGGGGAACGGAATGTATCTGGCGGTCCCTGAAGTGTTAAACCCTGTTTCAACTAGTCATGGGCGTCAGTACAGTTTCTCCTGATTGAAGCAGGTTTAGAAGTGCAAAAAGATTATAATAGAAGGTGATAGCAGTAAAGTGTGGCCTCAATGAGTGCAAACCCCTGAAGTATCTACGGCCCCTGTTTTCTGGTAGTTAATGTTCACAGGATCCAGTTTATTAAGACAATCTTGAGGTCTGTGATGATTTCAGAAGACTGTTAGAGTACTTACAATTAGATAAAGTTTATCTTCCGGGGCTTTTTGAGAAGGCTGTGTGGCCCACAAGTTGGTCAGATACAGCCACAAATCTTCCAGGGCCCATTCTCTGGTCCTTAGTAATTACCTCAGTGACACTTCTGTCTAGGGAAACTTCACCCAGCCCCAGTGGATCCCATGCACGTCTGTGATTTATTAAGTTTAGGTCCAAGTGAGCAGACTTGAGACTGAGTTGTCAAAATCCCTAAGCGGCACCTCCTAAGAGTCAAAATATCCTTGTAACCATTCTGGATCTATATGACCAGAGGGCATGTTCCCCTGGAGCTAAGGAAGAATGTACAAATTATGTGGGGAGAACAGGGAGCTCCTCTTCAAAGTGGAGGCAATTCTCCTTATATTGACCTAAGTGCTGAGTGGACCCAGGTCTTCAGGCACATTCCACAGAGCTAAATACACAGAAACTGACCCTGCATTAGCTGGGACCTGAGTTCCTGAAGTGCAGAGAGGACTTAACACTAGTCCTTCAAAGCAGTGTCTTTTAGCAGTGAAGGAATGAGTAATCTGCTGCCTTCCTATACAACCTAGTTACCTTGGTTTTGGCCAATCTGCCCCTTTGTTTTTGCTGGTGAAGTTTCGGGGTTTCTGTAGGTGGAAGCGTTAGGTCCGGATTGGAGAGAGAGACACAAAGCCTCATGGGTAGCAAAATGTTGTTTATTTTGAGCATCTGGGGGCAGATGGGTGGAGGCAAAAAAGCGTCCACCCTGAGGGCGGGGAAAGCCTTGGGTTTTATAGAGGGTTTCTCAGGGGGCAGTGAGTACCTAGGCCAGAACAGCCGCTGCAATAAAAATTTTTTCTAAACAACCAGTTTCTGGGACCCCTGCATCAGTCTCACCCTGTAGAGATAAGGGAGGGGGTAGTTCTCTCCTTATGGGGGTGGGGGATAGGAACTCCGCAGTGTCTGTCAGATTTACAGCCTCCAGGGACTCTCCAGACTCCTGTGGCTATTGTTTCACAAACCTCAGTTTTCTATTAACCACATTCTGTCCCATACACAGTTTTCTAGTTTCTACCTGGAACCAACCTAACAGGAAGTAGGCTGATTAGTATGTAACCACTCCCAAACCAAGATAATTGGGTTATGTTTACTTTAACTTTTAGCATTTAAATATAGAGAATATAGCATTTAATATATTTTAGCATTTAAATATAGAGAAGTATTTTTGAAAGACTCATACTTTAAAAATGATGAAATTTTGGCTATGAACAGTGCTCAAATGGCTCACGCCTGTAATCCTAGCACTCTGGGAGGCCAAGGTGGGACGATCGCTTGAGCTCAGGAGTTGGAGACCAGCCTGAGCAAGAGCAAGCCCCATCTCTACTGAAAACAGAAAAAAATTAGCCGGGAGCTACTCAGGAGGCTGAGGCAGGATGATCACTTGAGCCCAGGAGTCGGAGGTTGCAGCGAGCTATGGTGACGCTACTGCACGCTAGCCCAAGCAACAGAGCAACACTCTGTTTCAGAAAAAGAAAAAAGTGCTCAAAACTATATGATTCGCCGGGCGCGGTGGCTCACGCCTGTAATCCTAGCTCTCTGGGAGGCCGAGGCGGGTGGATTGTTTGAGCTCAGGAGTTCGAAACCAGCCTGAGCAAGAGCGAGACCCCCGTCTCTACTAAAAATGGAAAGAAGTTAATCGGACAACTAAAAATATATAGAAAAAATTAGCCGGGCATGGTGGCGCATGCCTGTAGTCCCAGCTACTCGGGAGGCTGAGGCAGGAGGATCGCTTGAACCCAGGAGTTTGAGGTTGCTGTGAGCTAGGATGACGCCACAGCACTCTAGCCCGGGCAACACAGTGAGACTCTGTCTTGAAAAAAAAAAAAAAAACTATATGATTAAGTGAATTTTAATTGTCTGATTTAGGCTTACGTGGGGTTTTTTCTTTTCTGCACATTAATGGTAAATATTCCACCTCCAGATCATTCTAAAAGCACACTGATCACTTTTATGCCTTTTAATATTATCTGTTATCTGAATACTAAGACTTTCCCATGTCTGTTTACTTGCTTTCAAATCTGCTACTATTAATTTTCAATTGAAGCAAGTTGTTTTGGGTAAAAAATTCAATTAATCATCTCAAACAAAAAAAATAGATTAAGAAAAACAGACTACAAGATGTAAGAATACATCATGCATAGTAAAGTTACATCCTGTTTCGTAAAAACTGTGTTTCATCTGTGCAGGTACTAGGTCGCAAAGGAAAATCCATTTCTTGCTGTGAGTCATGGCCAAAAAGTTTGAAAATCATTGCAATGAAGGCTTTCTAAAGATTTTCAAGTTCTGTAATTCTATAATTATGATAAGAACTCCAAATCATTTATTCAAAAAGGATGTATTAAGCACCTGCTTTCAACCCTCTACCCCCAGAGCACCAGGCATGTGAAGTCATTGGCGTTGAGACTGTGCAGCTGGGCAAATTGGCCTTTTTTTGTGCCATTGATGTCTTGGCACCGGATAAAGCCTATGAATCCTGTCTCTAATGGGTTTTTTTTAGAAGAAAAACTTTAATTGCTATTGCAAAAAAAAACGATATGAAATAGAAATTGGTTACAGTAACATTAGTAGAGAATATTTTCCGGAAAGTGGAGGTAGCTGGATGTAAAATTCTGGCAGAAGTTTAATAGAACAGTCCCAGGTGTTTAGGTTGAGGCCAATACTTAATGAGGATGAAAGCCTTGTCTGTGGGGAATTTCCAACAATACCTGGAGAGATCTTACACTATGCCTAAACCAAATCGAATTGTTTTCACAAGAGCTGTAAAGTTTCATATAGTAAAAGGTTTTTTCTACAGGCACTTCAATTTCACATTAAGAGTGGCATAGAAGACCTAAACACAGAAGAGAACATTTATGCAAGATATCTAACTCCTTGATATAATAATGCATACAATACAAAATGGTTACACTATTATTACATCCAGGGCTTTCTGCAACTACAAAGTAGTGGTTATGGAAAGCTTGGCGCTCAGTATCAATATCTAGAAAGCAGCCACCACCTTTTATGTGTATTCTCCTTTTGAATTTTTTCATTTTTCTTGATCAGCTCTGCTATTGTTGCTGCTTCTTAGCAAAACTGGCACACACACAAAAAAAATGTAATCATTGATGTATCACCCAGCAAATCCCAAAATTCCTGCCTCAGAATCCTCCCAGCTTCTCTCCAGAATGCTTTCAAGCGTCGCAAAGCTACCAAGGGCATCTGGACTGCTACTGGCCCCATCCTTCCTGAGTCTGAGCTCCCACCCAAAGGCCATGAGGTCACAGAACAGCTGGGTGGGGCAGAATAATGTTTTTAAATGAATAAAAACGAACCACATAGGATTCCAAAGGAAACCAATTATATCAAAATATTTGTGAAATAGTAATATATGTACTTCTTAGTGTAGCAGGTTGAATACCTTCTGTGATTTCAAAATTGCAATGAGCATAAAACAATATTTTGAATTATCTGCAACAGCTGTAATGTGATAGAAAAATATCTGTGATTCGTATTGGTGACAAAGTCACAAGTAGTGCATATAAGTCTGGATTTATTATACACATTCATAATTAAAGAAAATATTAAATTCCAGTTAGAAGTTAAGGAAAATAAAGATATAATTACTTTCCAATCAAAGTTCACAGATCCCTTGAATGCCTATTGCAGAGCAAATCTAAAATTGCCATTGTAACATGACATTTAAATATCTATAATAAGAGTTGTGGTCTTGCAGGTCAGGAGAGAATGAAAAGATCAACTAAAAATCAACTAAAATTCCAAGCTAATGGTGGAGTAACTCAGATGTTTAGCCTGACCTGAAAAGTTGTACAAACCATAAAGAGGCCAAGGTTGGGAGGCCCACCCACCCTAAGACTGCAGCCCCACAGGGATATGGTTTTTCTTAGAGTGGTTCACTGACTTTCCAACTAGCCCTCTATAGAGCAGACCCAGGGAGCAGGCAAAGTGATACAGGCCACATTGTCCCGGGACTTACCCCTACACTTCTCCTGGTCACTCAGAGTCACAGGCCCAAGCACTTCTGAAGGCGAAGGAGCCTCATGGGTCTATCCCATGCCTCTCTCCCTCTATACAGCCCCATCGTGGGGCCATCCAGCCTCTGCTTGAATACCTCCAGGGACAGGACCCCACACCTCCTTGGGAGGAAGGGCTGCCTCTGCTCCAGTGCCAGGAAGCCTTAGTTGACTTCCTAGGAAAGACATGAGTCAGCAGGTGTGGAGTGGGCTGCAGGCGAATGTCCTGCCTTCTGCTCAGCACAGGCAGAGGGAGAAGGAACTCCA